GAGAAGAGAAGAGAAGAGAAGAGAAGAGAAGAGAAGAGAAGAGAAGAGAAGAGAGAAGAGATGGATTTTAAGAAGGCAAAGGGGATAGGATTCATTTTTCTTTAATGGCTGAGTTGTCTCAGCAGTGATTGTTTGACCTTGTGTGGGCTTGGAAGCTAAGCAGAATCAGACTAAGTTGGTACCTGGATGGGAGCCTACAAGAACATCTCAGATCTGTTAGGTTAGACTGGAAAATTATGTAACATCCTGGAAGAAGGCAAGGGCAAACCATTTCGGCCAAGGAGTCACAACAAAAGCATGGATGTCTCCATGATGTCACTAGAATTGCCCTTGCCTTGGAGAAGAGCATCTTGCTGCAGATGCCCCTTTTGCAACCCTGCATGGCACGGTTCTCTTCAGGGCAATTATTAAAATACGGGTTCCTGCTCCCCCTGCTTCGACTCAGGTTGTCCTAAGGAGAAATTAAAAAAAAAAAAAAAGGTAGAAAAATGTGTATTGGTTGCTCATTGCAGTTTGAGGTCAGCTAGGGGCTCCAGGTCTAAAAGTTGAAAATGACTGGTCAAGAGACATTTGGGTTTGATCCTAGGTATCATTTTGAACTCATAGCTAAAGAAAAATCTTGTTGCAGCATCGAAGTCTACCTTGTCTCCTTCTGGTCCCTTTAATCCTGGAATCCCCATCAGTCCGATCCCAACCTCACCCTAAGAATGGAAAAAGTGAAGATTTATTGATTGATTGATTAAATGTATGGAAGGCTGCCCGATTCCATGACAGTTCTGGGCAGTGCACAGTATGAGAAACAGATTGAAACAGATACACAACAGGAAAAGCATGATGAAAATCTGGAAAAACCACACCAACACCTGCTTTGACATAACAATATTCCCACAAAGAATCTTCTACCCAACCTAGTCCAAGGCCTGGGGGAAAAGCCAAGTGTTAAGGGCCCATTTAAATGAGATTAGGGTAGGGGACACCAGGTGATAGCTTGTTTAATGAATGGGACGTGGAGCATGCCAACTCTGCCAGAACATACTGTATGGGATGGACAGAATCTACAGAAGAGTGATGGTCCTTCAGATAACCAAGCCATGTACCACAAAGGGCTTTATAGGTGATAACCAGTATCTTGAATTCTACTTAATGGTAACCAGTGAGCCCACACAGCATGACCATAATTGCCTGTGTCACCATATTCTGGACCAGTTGCAGCTTCTGGGTGATCTTCAAGGGCAGACCCATAAACAGCCCATTGCACTGCAAGGTGGCCAAAACCTCCTGGTCCACAAACGGGTACAATTGGCACACAAGATGAACCTATGCAAAGGCCTTCCTGGGTACAGCTGCCACCTGCTCTTCCAGCAGGATCTATGAGTCCAGGAAAACTCCACATTGCTCAGTGGTCCCAAATAGGAAGTGCAATCCCATTCAGATGGAAATTCTCCAGTTCCAGGAAGTCCAAATACCCACAGTCACTCAGTCTTGCTAGGGTTGAACCTCAGTCTGTTCCCCTCCATCCAAATCTCCACACCCTCCAGAAACTGGGATGGGACCTTGACAGCATCATGTGGTTGGCCTGGGGTCAAGATATACCGCTGGCTATCACTAGCTTACTGATGATACCTGACCCAAAACTGATGTAGATGTTAGAAAGAAGGAGTGACACCACTGAACCCTGTGTCACCCCAAACATCAGGGTCCTCGGGCTCTATCACTCCTCTCCCACCAAGACCAACTGGAACCAGTCACAGAGAAAGGAAGACAACCATTGCAACACAGTGGCCCAACTCCTAATCCCTATAGGATTAGGGGATTACTCCCAGAAGGATACCATGGTCAACAGCATAAAAAGCTGCTGAGAGATCAAGAAGAAACAGAATGGTTGTACCACCCTCATCCTGGCTCTTCCAGAGTTCATCAACAAGCATGGCCAATGCCATATCACAGTACTATGTCCTGGTCTGAAACCTTACTGAAGAAGGCCAAGAAAATTTGTTTCTTTCTGTTTCTCTCTGAAACTGTAGCCTGACCACGTTCCCAACAACCTTCCCTGGAAAAGGAAGACTGGAGACTGGATGAAAGTTGTCCAGGTCCAGTTGCCCGGAAGACCCACACCAGCCATTGTCCAGGTCTGTTGGTTCTAGCAATGGCTTCTTAAGTTAGGGACATACCGCTGCCACCTTCAAGAGGCCTTCGTAAGCTGGGGGTTGGGGCATGAATGTAATACCCAGGGGTCAGGTTAAGAGTCTTGAGGATCCTGTCCATTTCCTCAAGAAGTACAGGATCAAACTCATCTCATGCAAGACTGTGCTTCCGTCACCTCAACAAGACTTGCCCCATCGGAGTCTCACTTTGAGCGAATCTGAGCAATTTCATCTGCCTGATACCTAGAATATTCTTCAAAATGGCTCTGCAGATGGTCCTGTGATTCATCCCTCCCCAGCAAGGAACCGGTCACCTTGACAAGGGCCATTGGACAGCTACTGACAGATGCAATAAGAGCAGAAAAATAACTACATTTTGTTGCTCTTATCGCTATGTAATCACAGGTCCAGCAAACCTGTGGCATTTGGGGACGGATGTTGAAATAATTTATCAGAAGCTCCAGTACTTCTCCTTTTACGGTACCCCTTTGCAAGTTAATGTTCTTAGGAGCAGCAACATCGAAAGGAGACACAACATGCTGTGTCTGAACAAGTAATCTCTATGATCACTTTGCACGATGGCCTGTTTTATACAGAGTGAATGTAGGTTTCCTACAACACACTTAACCACAAATTACACATTTTAGCTTAGTCGTGCACGTTCCGTGAACCCTGCCATGGAGCTGGTGATGGCTGTAGTTATTTGCACGGTCTTCTTATTTCAATCCAAACCTATTCTTCCTAAAATCCAGAGTTCCTTACTTTAATCACTGCTGCAGCAGTTTGTACCTAATTAATCATTAGTCACTCTCCTACCGTTCCTAATTACACGTTGCAGCTTCTCGAAATTTAAGTTCAGTGCTCAGTCTTTGTAGATCTGGGCCTTTTCAAGCAACAGAATCATGGCAGTGGCTGTTGGTTGTACGTGTTATGGCAGACGCACCCCTACACAGATCCACAGAGTGATAAAATGCATCAGTAGAATATTACTGTACAGCTTCAGACCTTCCCTCCATGAAGTTCACAGTTGCTTCCTTAGAAGCAGTTTCAGACAGGAGAGGCAGACGTGAGGATGTCTATTCTTTACAGGTACTAGCAAAACTTCCCTAAAACTATTCATCTTAGAATCATTCCTGAAGGCAGCTTTCTTCCCTTCAGAAGGGCTACTGGGCCTACAGTTTTCATCCCAGCCTTCTAGAGAAGGAGACAGCAATTTAAAAACCACTCAATCGTGAAAGGTTCCTTGCACAAAATACCTTGCTCCTATGTAATTCACCAGGATGGACTTTTCTCAGAAAGATCTAATATACCCACAAAATATACTTACCCCAAATATATAAAAATATATAGATATTTGTTGACCTCAGCTTTATACTCAATGTGGAGGCATTTAAAACTTCAGAAAAAAAGGGGGTAAAGCTGGGTTTTAAGTTGAAAGCAGTACCTTTTCACCTTTTGGCCCAGAAATTCCAGGAGTACCGTCCAGTCCTACTGGACCAGGTAGGCCAGCTTTCCCCTGTAAAAGTCAAAAAGAGTATCTTTCATCACTAGTATAGCTGTGGGCATTCCCGTCAGGCTTCCACTGAGATAAGAACATACATGGCTTGAAACTTAACCTTTAGCCATATAAGAGAGTTAATAGCTATGAATAGGTAGGAATGGTAGTGCAGAATTTATACCCAGTCAGAAATCCTGCCTGTTCCTTCCCAGCAGTGCCCCCTTCGAAGAAGAAACCTGGATTTCTTATCTCTAGCTTTCATAGAGTATATTGATGACCAACGCTTGTTTACATTCTCTGCATTCCCGCTTTCCCATTCAGACCAATCCACGTAGTTAGGCTGGGCCCTTTCAACCACTAGCAATCTTGACAATCCCAGATTTCAATTAAAAAGCTATAGCAGTCACTTCCCGTATTGTCAGAAAGGTCCACTGGAAGAGGAACCTCTATAGAGAGAACTCTTAGGTGGAATGGCTGACTCAGTAGGGTAGAAAGGTGGAGATCTCAAACTTCCTCTCCCAGAAGCCCCCTAGCTCTTCACACCCTGGATCCAACACTTGTTATTATTTATTATTAAATAAATTATTTATTATTAAATTTATATGCCGCCCATCTCCCCCAGAGGGTGACTACTCACTGCTACCACCTAGTTCCAGGGGCACCTGATCTAGTGTCCTTCCCTAACCCTGGTGTGTAAGAGTGACAGGGCACCCATTACCTGTCCTGCATTAAGCAGGGGGTTGGTTTAGATAATTTTATAATTAAATAATTGGTTCTTGGGATTCTTTTTTTTTTTTTATGGAATGCCATAATAACTTGGTTTTGGTTCTTGAGCTGTACCCATGCTGAGGATTGACATTTGGGATCCATCAACAAGGATCAGCTATGCAAAGCACTCAAAAGGATTAGTGTGTGAAGCATGTTGGGGTGAGCCAAAAGCATTAAAGCCATCACATCTCCCAGAAGTCTCAATGCATGTAGAAGGCATAGGGAATGGCCTTGAAGGTCAGGAGGAAGAGCCACTACCAAGGCAGCGGTCAGATATGAGGAGCTGAGCCTGGGCCAAAAAAGTAATTTGAGAAAATGTCTCAGACAAGCCTCTACCTCGTTCACACGAAGATAAAGGGAGGGAGGGAGGAAGCACATCCAGACTTACAAGATTCTGTTACTATAACTGTTACAATAAAAGTAGTCCTGACCTCTGTGGCATTGGCTTCTTAGTCTAGTCTACCTTGTGGGGGCTGACAATGCAGCAACTGTAAAGGCTTTCCGCATTGCCTGCATGGGGGTCTACATCCACAGATAACTCGTGGATCGCCAGTGCAGCAAAGCTACTGTTTGTGCCCATTCAGGAAGAGGCAACTGAGGAACAGCCTTTGAAGCAACCATGTTTTATAGAAGATCCAGCTGTTTGGTCCATGGAGGGGGGTGGCACCAGTTCACTTTGTAGACCCCACCCTTCAAATGCTTTGCAAACTCTTCTATCAACAAGGCACCAAGAACTAATTATAAATGATGGCTACCAGGTCCCCTACTTTGTCCCAGGAACAACCTACCATGGGTAACATCTCCACTCTTAATGAATTCCTTGAGTAAGAAAAACTACAGCTGTTCCTCCAAGCCATGAAGAGGGGAAGTTAGGAACAGAAGATTCCACTCACCGATTCTCCTCTTCCACCTTTCTCTCCTTTGATCCCACTTTTCCCCCGAGGACCCTAATAAATAGAAACGCTGGTTTTGCAAAACACACTGAGCTAAGCTAAAAAGTGATTGACAGCTTGTGATTTAGGTGTGATAGAAGCCCAGCCATTGTCTCAGCAGGCCAGATGAACCATACAGTTATTTGATTTGGAGACAGCATAGGAATTATGTTCTGTAAAGGTGGGTACAGGTATTGGCATTTATGTAAATGTAGCTGAAAAGCCATTTCACTGCTAGGAAAGGATGGGACTTAACATTTCTACAATACTTGCCTTTGTTCATATACAAATTCGTCTCTCCTGTTTGCACATCACTTTGCAAATCTTTTTAAAAGTCTACACATACATACATTCAATTATACCTCATTTTCTACACAATTACCCCAATATGCTTCTTTTCATGCACTGTAATTCGTTATTTTACAAACCTTTCATGAATGGATGTATTCCTGGACATATTTTTAGCCCAGAGATGTCACAAATTCCAGAGAAGTTTGAAAACACAGAGATCTGGTTCGCATATTAGTTTAAGAAAGGTGAATTAGAGCAGTTTTTATAACAACATGAGGTTAATTAATGCCCCCACTCCTGGCTCACTATTTTATTAAGTCCTTTGAACAGTGTTTTGGATATATAAAATAATAATTTAAGTCAGGTTTTTAAAAATGATACTCGAGAATACTGGGTCATCTTGATGCTGTTTCCCAAGGCTAGGAAGCTCTGGGAATTACACCCATGTGTAATAATACTATCTTGCTTGCATGCATAGAAATTTATTTACTTATGAAATTTATAGACTGCTCCAATCTGTTATGACTCTAGGCAGTTTACAAGATGCAACAATAAAATAAGAAGTCATCAAATTAAAAAAAAAATCAAAAAAATCAAAACTACGTACAAGGGGATTATCAGCCACACTAACTCAAGGACTCAGATAGGAACACTGAGAATCTTCCTGACTCTGATCCTAGACAAGAAATGTAGCTATTCCGACCTGAACTGAGGATAACTTCCTCCTCAGATCCCCTTTTAAAGACATCTTTGCTTGTGACCATTTCCCATCTTCTCTGGTTGCAAATTCCATAACTTCCTTTGATCTACCTTTAAAATGGATTGGTTTTTTGGTGACAAAAATTACAGGTGTGAGTGGCCCTCTGGATCAGGACCACAATAAGCAGCAAAAGGTTTTAAAAGGCCTGTATTCCGAAAAGAAGGGTCTAAACTTTTGACATTATTATTATTATTAATAATAATAATAATATTAATAATAATAAGCCACATTTTCAAAGTAACATGTAGTTGAGCCATTAGTGACCTTCATGAGCTTATTATCCATGTCCCATTTCCATAGCCATCCAGTTGCTCTACAACCCCTAGGAGATGGAAATCTCTGAGTAAGGATGAACATTAAAGATGGTAGACCTCATGGGAAACTATTCTCCTCATGGAGTCTAAAATAGGAACTGAAACGAAACAAACAAAAATACTACTCACTCTGAGGCCTGGGTCTCCAGGTTCACCCTGGAATTAAAAGAGCAGAGAATGTTATAAAGTGCTAAAAGGTTTAACTGGAAATCCATGCCACGTTCCTTAAATGTTCTCTTCTTCAGACTTGACATAGTTCCTCCTAGCTGATTGCTTGCACTGAAATGCTGTCAACAGCACACTTTCAACACATACAAGGGTCACCAACCAAACCTGAACCCCGGAAGTCCTGAACTCTAGAGACTTTCTAGCACACCACTTGTAATGCCACTTAGTGGCTGGTTCTGATAACACACTTAACTTGGTCTTTGAATTAACCCATTTTTTTTTTAGATTCGCACAACTACAGTACTAATCTAAACTAATTAAAGAACTAACTAAACTAATTCATTTGATAAATTAATCAAACGGCCTGGGTTCTGACAAAATGCTAAGCCATTGAAAACAAGGTTAAAACTAACTTAGCGTATTAAGTTAGGCCTTTAGCTGATCTGGTTACGTATGTTGTGTGAATATAGTCATCATATGGTTGCTTGGTTTTGGTTTAGCATGGTCTTGTGACTTCAGACTTTTTGATTTGCCAATCATTGTTTATGGCCTAGCTTGTTCTATGAATCAAGCTGCCATGGCTTGTTCCAGAGACTACAGCTTAGCATGGTGGCTGGTGAATTCTGGGAGTTGAAGTCCACAGATCTTAGAGTTGCCAAGGTTGAAAAACACTGAATTAAGGACTCATATTTGTTCAAGACAACATAGAGCTTCTACAGCCAGAACACCTTCTAGCCCAGTATTGTATCTGGCCAACAACTCTCCCATGTTGCAGTCCACCTGGACATCTGCTAGTTGACCCTGACATGCCAGTGACTTGGATGTCCCTTCTACCTCATATACATACATTCTACTACTACACGGCCCTTTCGCCACTGAATCCTGCTCTTTTTAAATCTGTAAGTAAGCCAAATTTTGAATTCTCCATTGCTCCTCGCAGCCCTACACACACTGTGCTGCTGTACACACCAATCACATAATACCAACTCTAAACCAGCATTGATGGGTTGCAAATTTCTAAAAGAAATGCTGGTTTCTTCCTAACATCGGGACACCAGAAAGTTTTTTCTCTCCCTTGCTTCAGCAGGGAATGAGATACTGTATATTGCAGGTAGTTTATCCTCTCTTTATGGATGTTAATCTCTCCACCTCCACTTGCCTTCCGCCTCGTGTTTTCTCAGAAAAATTCCTTGAGCGCAATTTTGCCATCATGCTACTAGGCAACACTGAGCCCTGGATTTCCTGGGATAACAAACTTCTCTGGGTGGCTAATCGGCCACCATAGTGAGCAGAAATCTTCTGAGGCTTCTGTATATTCGTTATTACTGGTAGTCCTTGACTTATGATCATTCGTTTAGCGACCATTTGAAGTTACAACAGTGCTGAAAAAAGTGATTTACAATCAGTCCTCACACTTACAACTGTCACAGCATCCCTGCAGTCACATGATCAAATGTGGGCACTTGGCAACCAGCATGTATTTTTGACAGTTGCAGCATCCCAGGTTCATGTGATTGTCATTCGTGACCTTCCCAGCTGGCTTCTGACAAACAAAATCAATGGGGAACTGCACAATTCACTTAACGACCAAGTGATTTGCTTAACAACCATGTAATTCACTTAACGATCATGGTGATTTGCTTAATAACCACTGCAAAAAATGTCATAAAATTGGGTGTGGTCATATGATGCCTCACTTAATGACAGCATTGCTTAACTATGAATTTTCTGGTCCCTATTGTGGTCATAAGTTGAGGACTACCTTTAGTTTCAAAAAACAATATCTGCTTGCAAACATACCCATAAGCAGCCAATTAGAAGGAAAGTTTTATAAATAATCAGGGCAATGTACCTCAATTTGGACAATTTTTTTTAGTCAGGGAGAAAGAAACCATTGTTAAGCTCTAGGAGGAGCAAAACTTTCTGTGACTGGCGATTTTGCAGCAAAGAGCGTAAAGGCCGATTGGCTGACATTTTTAGTACTCGGCTATCGGCTAGTGCAGGCTGGGCATTGATTGGCTGAAAATGCTATCTGTGAGCTTTAGAGTCATGTGCCAAGGAGGGAAATAGGGGTTGGCTTTAAAATGCGTTGGGAATGATTAGCAAGTGGAACAGCCAATGAGGTGTCAATGCACAAAATCTTACATACCTTGATTGACAATCCAGGTGGTCCCTGCGGTCCAGATAGGCCAGGCAGGCCTGGTGGGCCTGGTACACCGGGAACCCCCGGCTGCCCTTTCTGGCCCTGAAATAGTTTAAGCCAGATATTAGAGCACACCTCTTGAATTTGGTTCCCATCACCTATGTTAGATGTCTTCTCCCATAATCAGCAGCCAGGAGAAGTTACCATGGAGCTAGGCAACTGACACCGAATTGCTAGGTTACTGTCCCCACCGATTCCATTTCTCTGTAACTTCTGAGGGGCATTCAGGGTCCAATATATCTGCTTTCTTGGTGTGTGTGTGTGTGTGTGTGAGAGAGAGAGAGAGAGAGCAGGTGCTCCCATGTCATCTATTCTGTCATGAAGGAAGGGAAGGTGTAGGGGACCTCTTTCTAGACACATGGCCTTCTGCCTGCTCTTGTAAGGATGGATAAGGGTCTGTCCCAACCTACAGTAGGGCCAGTTGTTAAGAAAGTAGGGTAAATTGTTAAGAAAACTAATTTTCGTTGCCCAAATGTGTACTCTAATCTTCCCCTTTCACAGACGCTTGGAAAGAATTCTGGTTTCTGCTCCCAAAACGATGTGGCTCTGGGGAAGGTGGGGAACTACAGCAGAGGCACCCCAAGGCTTCGAGAAGACAGTCACAACCCTTCCAAAATTTCAGGGCGACAGAAAAGGAAGGGCACTGCATTTAATCTAACTTCACTGAAAGCAAAGATAGCTTTTGGTCATGGCCCCATCATATAGTCAGGAGTGTGGCTCCAAGCAAGCCCGAAGGGGAAGGGGTGAGACTCTTGGCCTTAAAATGGTTGCACACATCTATCCTAGATGCATTTCCTTGACTATGACCAGAGAGAAAGGAGAATTCCAGGAAGGAGGGAAAGTTAATGTTCAGGATGGAAAGAATGGGAAGAACCTTTGAATAAAATGTTGCATTGATAATCAGATACGAGCAACAATAATAGAGATCAACTCTACCACTAAGGTGTTTCAGGGGTGGCCTGATTTATGAATTCTAGAACTCAATATTTATTTTTCAGCTTTATGATTGGGCTACAGTATGTGATACTCTATTTTAATACAATCGCCTATTAAAGGGCCATGGCAGGGTGTCAACCTCCAGGTGACCTTGGCTGATCTCCAGAAGCTAAGCAGAGTAGAATCTGGCTAGTACCTGGATGGGAGATCACCAGAAAATGTCAAGGCTATAGCCTAGAAGGAAAAGCCAAAGGAACATCCCAAAAGAAGGCAGCAATGGACATCATTTTAGTGTTGTTGTCAAGTAAATGACACAGATGTATCCATGTAATCAACATGAGTTTGACTTGGGGGCTTTGCCCATCTTAATAAATCCAGCTCTAAAGAATTTACATCAAGGGGAAAATACTTTATTTTACTTACAGGAGGGCCTGGCTGCCCATTTTTTCCTGGAATGACTTCCATGCCTCCTAGGACATATCCTGGTTCTCCCTGCAGAAGAGATGTCATGATTATGGACTACTGATCTGGCAGATCCCAAATCTACTTCCAAATAAAACCACAATCTGGCTTTCTGTGACCTGAGGACCACTTAATGAACATACATCTGTGATAGAGAACCAAACCTCTTTGGATGATGTTGGGTGTGTTAGCCCAGGATTCCTCAACCTTGGCGACTTGAAGATGTGTGGACTGGAATTCTGGGAGCTGAAGTCCACACATCTTCAAGTCGCCAAGGTTGAGGAACCCTGTGTTAGCCTAAAAGCATTTGTAGGTCCACAGGTTCCTTACTCCAGTATAAAGATTAGGAGAAGACCTCAATATAGAGATTTAACAACTTAGGGTTGAAAAAGGATTTTCAGTGTCTGTCTTGTCAATTTTCCCCAAAGCATAATTTATTCTACCAAAATTTAAGACTGCCAGCTTGACTGTGTAAAGCATGTATTTAAGCTCATGGGTCCATCCGTGGCAGCTGTTGCCCTAACTTCAGGAAAAGGTCTTCTCCAGCCACAATTCTGAAGATTCTTTATGGAAGATTGAACTAGAAACTCTTGCAAAACATGTATGTGCCTTCTCACAAGCCAGGTGCCCTTGCCATGGAGCTAAAGTGACTCATTACATCTAAGGTAGTGTATCAGCACAGTTATATTGTGTATAAGTGTAATACATGTAAGAGAAACTCACTCTGTCTCCTTTAGGCCCAGATGGACCTGGGAATCCAGGAGATCCCTAGTAAAACCATGCAAAGAATACAGATTTAGCTTGCTGCCAAAACAGGAACATTCGAAGTCATGTGCTCATGTACAGTACAAATCCATCTTATCCTTGAAAGCTCAAAGCTTATTTTTTGAGACTTCAATGAAGAAAACCAATATAATCTGAAGACTGTTACATCCAATGCAGTCTTTGCATTGTACAGCTTTGTACAATGTACACTGTACAGCTTTAGAGCAATTAAATCAAGTCAACAATCAAATCAAATCAAATCTAAAGAAGTAATAGCCCTCCCAATACCTCCTTCCCCCAAAGATGGACCACCACCGTTTCATTCATCACCATCAGGGATGGTGCATGGGCAAAGAAGACCTGTAATCATATCAAGTAAAAGGAGAGCTTCCCCCAACTTAGGTATCCTCCAGATGTCTGGACTTTAATTCCCAGAATTCCCAACCAGCAAGGTCATTGTTGAACATTCTGGGGGTTGGAATCCACCTGTGTGGAAGGCACCACATTTGATGAACCAACTACACTCACTGTTTAGCTTTAAGAAGTGGTGGTGGTGGTGGAGATATGCAACTTACATGATCTCCTTGCATGCCAGGGAGACCCTGTCCATTGAGAGAGAGAAAAAAGCAGGAGCCATTAAAAATGGGGCAGAAGGTAACTTAAAAAGCAGTTGTGATCTTAAGCACATTCTCCAAATATCTACTCTTAATCCAGGGGAGCCCGGTGGGCCCGCTCGTCCAGGTCTGCCAGGTAATCCTGGGATCCCATCTTTTCCCGGAAGTCCCTAAATAAACAAGGAAAGAGCAGAGGATATATCTGAGACACATGGCTCTTCTTCTGTTGACACCAGTGAATGGCTGAATGGATGTATCTGTTAATTGCATGATCCAGCTAATTCCTCTATGTGATTTCCCAACCCAGTGTTTCTCAACCTTGGCAACTTTAAGATGTGTGGATTTCAACTGGGAGTTGAAGTCCACACATCTTAAAGTTGCCAAGGTTGAGAAACACTGTCCCAACCATTGACTCACCCGTTCTCCTTTTTCTCCTTTGGTGGCAAAGGCAAATGGATCATAGCCTCTGTGCAAGTTCTCTCCTGTGAAGCTCTGTAGAAGCAGAAGCAGAGTGAAGTGTCATTCCAGAGGTTTTCCTCTGCTTTGCCCCCAGACTAATCCATCCCAGAATGCTTATCTACTCCTCCATGTTTTAGAATTTAATTGTTAATACAGTTTAATAGAATTTAAATATATATTTAAATATATTTAGTTAATAGTTAATAGAATTTATATATATATAAATATAACAAACAAACAACCCCAAAGGGATAGATTCAGACAACAAGCTTACAAACACAAAAAGGAACCTAGTTTAAAGTTAGCCATGCTTAGCATGCGTGAATAAATTTGCTATGCGTTACCTGACTTACTTAAGCATGTGATGTCTACTCAACCAAACTGTGAGGAACCCCCAGGTGTCCTCCATTCAGGAGAAGCCCTAAGCACCTTCTTCTTGCATCCCCAGTCTGTGAGTGTAGCCCTCCCACCATCTGAAAGCTTGTCATCTGATTCTTCCATCATTGCTGAGTTTGTTCAGCATGCAGGAATCTTCCATTTCAGAAATGTTCTGGATCTCTTGCAGTCCAGGCTCAGCATCAGGCAGAAGGAAGCAGGGGAGGGATCACCTGTAACCACTTGTATGCACTGTCCATGGTCCTGACGGGATTTTGTTCTGCCATCGCTAGACCAGCCTTGGCTTTTCATTGACAGGATAGTCCAATGTTTCTCAACCTTGGGAACTTTAAGATGGGTGGACTTCAACGCCCAGAATTCCCCAGCCAGCCGGCTGGGGAATTCTGGGAGTTGAAGTCCACCCATCTTAAAGTTGCTAAGGTTGAGAAACACTGGGATAGTCCTTTACCATCCTGGCAGCTGGTAAATGTAAATTTGTATAATATGCTAAAATGGGTAAGCGTTAAGAAAGGTTAGATTTTTTTCCTGTGGTACAGGGTGTTGTGTGAACCCAGACTGTTTGGCTGGTTTATAGTTTAACATTTTTGATGAACCCAGAAAATGGGTTCATTTAGTAACCAGGTTCAGTGAACCCACACCTTGGCTGCATCAGCTGGTTATTGAGTGAGTCCCACTGGACCTGACCTAAATGGGATTTTGCACAACATGGTAAGAGATAAAAGAAAGCCAAAGTTAAAACTAATCAAAATGTGCTTGCCAGATCTTCTAATAGACCCATTAGATCTTGTGCAAGTGCTAGATCTTCTGATAGACCTACTTAGGTTTATTGTGGGATCATGTCAGGTTCATCCCAAAGAACTCCAAGAGACAATGCAAATACAGTTCTGTTGCATTTATCAGCTACAACCTCCAGAGAGAAAATCTCCCCAGACTGAACCCTAGTTCCCAAGCCAGCCAGCCACAACACTGTGAATTCCTTCTTCTGATAGACCTACTTAGGTTTATTGTGGGATCATGTCAGTTTCATCCCAAAGAACTCCAAGAGACAATGCAAATACAGTTCTGTTGCATTTATCAGCTACAACCTCCAGAGAGAAAATCTCCCCAGACTGAACCCTAGTTCCCAAGCCAGCCAGCCACAACACTGTGAATTCCTTAGGGAGATACCAGCCTCATCTTCTTGAACTTCCCATGCTCCTGCTGTGGACTAAGAGCACGCTTATCTCCCTGAGCCTGGCCTTCATAAGTCCATTCCATCACAGATCACAACCTTTAGGACTCTCTGTCCTTAGCTGGCTTCTGTGAGCTCCTCAGCCATAGCACCAATATTTGCACCACCTGGACATCTTCAGAGTATTGGTGTGGCCATCACAAGCATCCATGGGGGAGGGCAAGGAGGGGGGACAACCGAGGTCACAAACATCATGACGTCCTCACAGTGCCATCTCACCAAAATGACACACGTCATTTTGATGTTATTGTGGTCTTTACTGACCTTGCTGGATCGGATAACCATTTAGCAGCTCCGTTTGGCAAATATCTACCGTGCCACAGCCACCTTGGTGCAGCAGGATCTTACCATCTGCCTCTACGCATCTCTTTCTTGCCAACCTTTGCTCCTTGTCTTGAAACATTTGCAAACTATTGTCAGAAGCAATGCACCATTGGAACTCCCACAGAGTGACAAGGAGTTGCAGAGCCAGCTAAGGTTAATTTCTTACAAGTCTAATGTTCTTGGGAACTCTCGTTTTCGCCTTCTTTTTCTGAAATCACTAAAGCAGATGTCTAATCTTGCATATCTCAGGACAGGGAGTAGGTTGCCTTTGGAGGTTATTTTTAACCCTCCTGAGCCTCAACCACCACAACCCCTGTAGGGAATCAGAGAGGAAAGAGTAAGAAGGCTACTTAGAGAACATCTAGTCCAGCCTCCTGTGAAGTGCAGAAATCCAGTCATCCCTGACCAACGGCTGCCTAGCCTGTGTTTGCCCAATTCTAGCAACTCTATCATAGGAGAGGCTGTCACCTCCTCATCAGTGTGTTCCATTATTGACTTATCCATTAACAATTCCTTAAGAATTTTTTCCTGATATCCATGGAAATCTTGTAATCTGAAGCTGTTCTTCCTTGTTCTGTCTTTTGAGACAACTCTGAACAATTCTGCCCCGTCCTCCACGTGACAACGCTGGAGATAACCTGGGCTGAGAGAGAGGGACTGGCTCCAAATCACCCAAGGGAGATCCCATGGCTCAGCAAAGACTAGAACTTGGGGTCTTCCCTCTGCTAGCCCAGCCCCTTCCCCACAGAGTGACCCAGGCTCTTGGACTAAGAGAGAGGGACTGACCCAAAGTCCCATGGCTCAGATTTGACTTGAACCCCCATCTTCTCAACCTTAATCCAAAATGGTAATTCCTGCACTAACAGATGAGGGTCCCCAGGTTCAGACGCCATCAACTCCTGCCTTACCTGCAAGCATTTATGGTCACAAGGTCCTTGGGTGGTCAACACTGCCAGGTGAGTAGAAGGGGAACTGGCGATGGGTGACTTCATCTGGTCATCAAACAGCTGTTCTGGTAGCCCCATGGCTTTGCTGGCAGGCTTAGAGTAAAGGACATGAATTGGACCATTCTGCCCCCTGCTCCCTCAAGGAGAGATGGGGGATTTATAGCATAAACCCAAATATCTTTACAGTCTAATCAGCTCAGTTCCAGCAAGTTAAAGAGGTTTAAGTCCCAGCTAAGCGGGTCTACGATTACAGCTTTAAATGCGCTCCTATGAATATTTACTTGGAAACAATTATCTTCGTGCTTAAAGGGATTTGTCCCTGGTGAGTGGATCTGTTCATAGCAACCAGCAGCAGCTACTCAATCTTGGCTAATCTTGAAAAAAGCTACACAGATTTGCACCAGGTTATAGGTTGGATGGGAGACCACCAGGAAATCTATAGGCTAGATTTGGAGTAAAAACACCCAGGAAGAAGTCAATGTTAAATTGCTTCCTTAATGTTATTAAAAAAAACTCCACGGGCATGATTTGCCAAGACTCAAGAGAACCATTATCTTTTAAATATATATAGGATTATGGTTTTAGAATAATACCCCTTTGCCCTGTGCCAGAGAGGATGCAAAAAACTCAATTACCCTCAGGTGCTCTGGGATAATGTCCACTTGTCGGGATCCCAAACAAATGGTTTCTATCAGCTCCTTGATGATTTGGCTCAAATCGTCAAAAGTGTCAACGTGGAAGAGCTGGTGTAAGTTCCGATGCAGTAGGACCTGTTTCAGTTCCTCCACGTGGGCTCCTGAAATGCCCACAGCAATCATCCGGATTCCTGCAGGAAAGGAGAGGAGAAGATGAACAAGCCACACGGAGAGCAGGGCTGACGTGCAGTGCACGATGAATAGGGCAGAAGGAGGGGGTGTCTTACTCTGTTCTATGGTGCCCCAAATCTGCAGATTGGGGCAGAATACAAGTAGAAAGAAAGAGAAAGAGAAATGTAATGGTTAGGGTACTAGATTAAGAGTGGGGAGACCAGGTTTTAGTCCTTCTTCATGCATGGAAGCCAACTGGGTGACCTTGGACCAGTCCTTCCCTCTCAGGTCCAAAGCCAGTGTGGTAAAGAAGCAAAGATACTTGGGTTCAAGGTCCCTTCAGCCATGGAGACTGCCTGGGTGACTTTAGGCTAGTCCCTCTCTCTCAACCCAAGGGTCAGGATGGTATAGAGATGAAGATGCTGGTCTAGGAATGGGAAAACCCAGGTTCTAATCCCTTTTCAGCCATGGAAGTTCTCTGGAGGATGTTGGGCCAATCCTTCACCCCCAGAGCCAATGTGGGGTAATGGTGATGGTGTTAGACAAGGAGCAGATATATCTAGATTCAAGGCCCCTTCAGCCATGGAGACTTCCTGGGTGACTTGGGGCCAGTCCTTCCATCTCAAGCCAAGAACCAGTAAGGGGCTGTGGTGAAGGTTCTGGACTAGAAACAAGGAGACTCAGGCAAGAGGTAGAGATCCATAACTACCTAGAATGTGAGCCAGTCTAGCCGGGGGCAGCACATCATCCAGAGACGGGCCATCTGTTAGCAAGAGCAGGATGTGTGGGACAGTAGACCTCATTCCCCTGGAGGCCTGAAATATTTCTTTCAGCACATAGGCAATCCCTCTACCTGGGAGAAAACAGGGAAACTTACAGAGGCAGAACAGTAACATTTAAAAAAAAAGGGTGGGGGGACACATTTTGGCGAGGAATGACTGCAGGATCTGATATGGAATTCTGGTGTTTGCACTGTTTAGTTTTGACGAGCAAGGGAGGACAAACAAGTTTCTAGACCATATGGCAACCGTCTCTGCAAGAGTTTTTTAATGCATTCAGAGCCTCAGAGTCCTTGGAAATAAAATTTTGTGGAGTAACATGTGGTGTAGAAAATCTCCATAGCTATTTTCCTTCATTTTTCCCCCCACTTGAAATTTACCTCCCCCATCTAGGAGGCTGGAGAGACACAAGGTTGGGTGGGTCTTTCATATCCAGTAATAGTGAAACCAAAACCAAGGTACATTTGCCACATTAAACACATTCTGTGAATGTACCTGCTAGATATTTACTGGGGTTAGCAGGTTGTGTGAACACAGCCAGTGCCACAATCAGGTTTAGGCCCAAATATAGCATTTGGTGTAACGTGCATGTTCACACCTTATACTACCGGGTGGATATTTGGATGGACCTTTCGAATGAAAATTTGTTCCTTTGAGCCACAGGGGGTGGGGGATTGTTAGGAGTCCTAATATTTAAAAAGGGCTTAATGATTGAATTTTTCACGCGGTATATTTTAACCGGACTACCGTATCCGAACTGCAAAACTACAAAGGGCCAACAGAGGGCAGGAGATGCATAGAGAAAATTACGATCCTTTCCTGCCACCTTGTGGCTCTCTGAATTTCTGCAGCTTAAATTTGTAGCCCCGGGTATTAATTCCTCTGAGCATTTATTCTCCTCTGAGTACTCAGGATGGTATAGCCCTCGATCCCAAACTGATGAATTGACACAAAACGGATGAATTCCAGCGTCCTTCTGGGCAATACCCACCAGTCTTTGTGTTCCCGCCATTATAGCCAAGCCTCTTGAGAGCATCCAGGACTCCGGCCCGGTCCGCATACGTGTTCAAGTGGAATTCGGTCCTCGGTTTTTCACTGTATTGAACTACAGAAATCTGGCAAGGAGCAGACAATTTTTTAAAAAAAATATAGGGTTTAGCTTGAACATGAGCTGAAAAAGTACTTCCCTAACAGGGTGCCCACAGGGGAAGTCAAAAAGTGCCACAGTGGTGGCCACAAAGGCCCACTCTTTTTGGATGTCTGTTGAGAAGCAGAATTTCAGATGCATGGTGGCAGCCACCATCTTGCCTTGTTTGACCTCCCTGTCCCCTGAATTAAAGGTTCCCCATTTATCAGTGAACTATGTCAACATCTCTTTGGACTTCTCCTTAGTTTTAGGAAACTATTTCCCAAGATGCTTTAAATGCACTGAGACGCAAACAAGTATGTCTAAGGCAAGCTTTCACCTGTGTACTTTCAGGCCCAATCTGGGGGAAATAAGAGACCACGTGGAAGAGGAAATCCTTCACTTTCATAAAGTTGTTTGGACCAATGCTTGAGGACTCATCCACCAGAAAGGCAATGTCCGCTCTGAATGTGCTACAGGCTGGGAGGGAGAAGAGAAGGCAGCTGTTAGTATCAGGACACTGATAATGCCTGTTTATCCCTTTCCTTTCCTTTCCTTTCCTTTCCTTTCCTTTCCTTTCCTTTCCTTTCCTTTCCTTTCCTTTCCTTTCCTTTCCTTTC